TCGAGCAGTTCAAAAGCTTTAGTTTGAAGTCATTATTGGTTCGCTGCGGGAGTCTCGGGTGTCGACAATAATTGCAACGGAGACTTCCGTACGGGCCGTACTGTCAAAACATCCGTGGACAACACAGCGGGATACCTTTCAAAGGCTGCGCACAATCTCCAAAGGTCACAAAAGTTTTCGGTGTCAGAGGTAAACTGCTGTATTCTTTCAATTGGGGACTTGCTCTAACTCACCCGATCGGCCGATAAAACTAGAACAGTTGTTGGATTAACGTTTATCGTGAACGTCACGTTTGCTCTAACGAAGAGCAGAGGACAATGAGTTTTAGTTGGATCGATGTGATTAAAATGGGTAAACTTTAAAGTTTGCTCTAAATTTTGAAAATCAATTGTGTCTATATAATCATATAATAATCAAATACGATTAATAAATAAAAAAATAAATTAAATGTACTCAAAATTAAAGTGGTAAATATTTGTTTCGTTTTCAAGTAGGAAGTTGAAACGTTATTTCCTTCCGTCTTCGTAACAATGACATCTTCTAAAATATTACCGCTAAGTCAACAATCTCGTGTGACTTAAGATATGTCTAAAGCACGGTCACAATACCGAGCAAACACTCGTGACACGTAGCGAAAAGCTCCGCGTGAGAGGCGACAGGCCAATTTGCTCGCCGGCGTTCATCCTCGGCGTTATTTGTGCCGGAGAGCGGTTATTGTACGTACAAATAAGCTTTAAATGACGTCCAAAGCCCTATTTACCTTTTTCCGCATTCATCGTATTGTGTACACTTTGTACGGTGACTTTCGACTTCTTTATCTACCTACCTCCAAATTTGGGATTACCTTTAAAACTATTTTAAAGAAACTAAATTATTTAATCTCATTTCATACAGCCTAAACAATAAAGATATACACATTTATCACCAAATTAGAAGAAACTGAGTTTAATCTATACGTTTTGAACAAAGTTGTAGCTAATTAATGTAGCTATTTTATAAACAAACAGAAAAGAGTAATAATATTCTTTATAACATTCGGATTTAGCCGTACGTCTCATAAGGCCCACTTTTACCATCCTCCTGATAAACTATCTAGAGGATAGTTGCCATGGTTACGACGGTTTTAAGCACTCTCATTGGCTAAGGTCCATTACTACCATCTTTTAGTTAAATTTATCTTATAGATAAACCCATCTACTAGCCAATCAGAGCGCGTAAAATAGCCGTAACCGTGGTAATAATCTCTTAGATAGCTTAACCAGAAGATGGTAGTAATGGATCTAAGGCCCACTACTACCACTCATAGTTAAACTCTCTGATAGCGTTATCTATCGGATAGCTTAAAAATTGGTTACTACCACTGTATTTATCTTATAGATACCGCTATCCAAGGGATAACTTTTGAAATATCTGTAACCCGTGGATTAGGTGTCGGATAAGTTGCTATCTCAGGGATAACTGCGGATACCTAACCTCAAATAGGATTTATACTGACGTATAAAATTCGAGCGTTTTATTATTTCGGTTAAAATAAGAAAAGTAATATAAACTTAAATAAAAAACTATTAATAATTAAGATTAGATAAAATCATCATGGATAATTTCTTCGACATTGGAGATGAAGAACAAATTTTTGAAGAAATCAATGAATTATTTCCTGTAAGAAGCGAAAGGATAATAAGGAGTAGAGTTGAGATTTCGTGTCTCGAAAAAAAGTTTTCATCACCTTTTGAATCAAGTAGAAGATGTAATAAAACCTCCATCCATGACGTAAGTAATTTGTTGATTACTATTATTTAATGTAAAATTCATCAAAATTTTAGTAATAATGCTGTACAGTCGTGTTCACGAGAAATGCGCACTCAACGTCAAGCGCTGTTGTCAGATCCGATATGCCGCTGGCTAACCTGGACCGACACAAGTCCCTTCTCCACGAGCTTCGTGTGTGCTCGGCTCAGCCCGTTTAGGCAGCGGCATGTCGGATCTCACAACAGCGCTTGACCTTGAGTGCGCATTTCCAGTGAACACGACTGTACCTCCTTCAAACCGTTTGTTGCTGACTCTTCGGTTTTATGCAATAGGTAACATGTTGCTGTCCATAGCAGATTTTGCAGGAATGAGTGTACAATTGGCATCTTCAGTCGTTTATCATGTTAGTTGTGCCATTATTGTTTACCATCACATTTTAACATATAATAATACGAGATACACATACTTGTTGCTTTCCTTGCCATGTAACTGCATCACTTTTTTGTTTTCTATTACGTTTTTATACTTGATAACAAATTCAAGAAGATGTTCGCATTCTTCTTTGGTGAAATTTTAATTTTCAGGTTAGAACAGGTTAGAATATCGTCAAAATACCTAATAGTAAGTCTTTTAACCACATAGAGCTATCAATTTAACATAATAGACCAAAAAATCCCTAGATTCCTTGGTTATCTCAAGGATTTCTTAACTATGAGATAAATGGAGGTGGTAGTACGCACGACCCTATTATCTACGAGATAAATTGTATCTTATAGATAGCTTAACTAACAGATAGCATTGGTTTGGTAGTAACGGGCCTAAGAGCTGGATTTATCTATCGGATAAATTTATCAAAAGGTGGTAAAAGTGGGCCTAAGACGACTAAACCCAAATGATTTTAGTTCTACTATACAGGGCTTCCCAAAACTCCCGGGACGGAGTTATAAGTTTTGAACGAGTGAAGAAAAAAATTTGAAAATTTGGGGAAAAGAGTCATAAAAATTACATTCTTAGATACTTTAGCGCTTCCATACATGTGGAGTTTTTTTAGGGGATGACCAATCCTACATTTTTAAATAGCAACCCCTGTCGAGTTTTACCTTATTTTAAAGGTAATGAAAAAAAAAAACACCTAAAATCAAAACGTGATATCTTAATTTTTTCAAGAATTATGAGGGGTTAACTACCAAATGGGAAAATAAAATGTTTTCATGTTTTTTTGCACGTGTATTACGCTTTTTATAACAAATGTTCAAGTTGACCTTCTTCGATCTGGCAATGACCCAAACGTTCATAAATGACATTTTGAACCATCAGGAGCCTATCCCTACTGAATCCCGACGAATCATTTATTGATTCTGGTTTTGTTGCATACACTCTACTTTTCAGAAACCCCCAAAAGAAAAAATCGAGTGATGTTAAGATCAGGAGATCGTGGTGGTCACTCAGTTTCACCTCTTCTACCAATCCAGCGGTTTGGAAACGTGCTGCTTACAAAGTTTCGAACTGCGCGATTAAAATGTGGCGGAGCACCATCTTGTTGGAACCACTTATTGTCAATACCATTAAAGAAGTACACTTGGAACCACTTGATTTTCAACATTTGCGGATATCTGCCTCCACCCAAATTTCCATTAATAAAAAATTGACCAATTAGGTACATTCTCTCCCATAATATCAGCCCATATATTAATTTTCTGCGGTCTCTGAGTATGATCTTTTCTTATTAAACGTGAATTTTCGTCACTCCAATAACGACAATTGTGCCTATTAACTTTACTATTCGAGTAGAAAGAAAACAACATGCAAAGGAAAATTTCTGTCAACATCACATTTTGCACGTACTATTTCACAGAATTCCATCCTTCTTTCGAAACACTTCGTTCAATTCCTGAACTGGGGAAACTTATAGGAAAAATAGTTATTTCACATTTACTTTATTCTTCAATACAAGACAGTAACACTTCTTCGTTTTTTTTTCTGGAGTTGTTGCAAATTTCGGTCTACCAGTTCTCAGAAGATCTTTCACAGTTCCCTTTTCTTGATATCTTCGAACAGTTCTTTCGACTGTTGATTTAGAAATCGGTGGTCGTTGATGAAAACAATCATTGAAGACGTTACGTATAGTGTACGGTTTGGGTTGCCTTCGGTTTATTTTTTTACAAGTCAAATGAAAGAGTCACTTTAAACAGCCACTGAAGAGTAGATTGATTCAAATTCTGAAAGCACCCGACAGCGCCTCAACCCGGAAGCACCCTACCTCCTTTGGATTCTGGATTCGCGGGAAGGCAGGCTGAATCGCCCGCACCACTTTGACCTCAGCAGATCCCTTGTACATATTACCTTGGAGGCAAAGGCTAGAATTTGTGTTGGTTGTGATTCCACTCATGCTAATCTGGATATCTCCAAAAATGGATAACCTCACTGTCAAATGCCATCATCATTTCTATGGAGATGATGCATGCAAGGGTTATTGGTGAGGTCTTCCTCTGGTGTTGGTTGCAAGATTCAGGTTTTGCTGCCCTTCCTAATACAATATATGTGGCCACCATAACAGAAACTTTCTACCTAGAGTTCCTTGTTTTTATAGTTCCCCTGCTTCTATCCTATTTGAAGGAACCTAATTCTTCTTATTAGTCTGGTCAACCAAAAACTTGTAAGCAAATTGTAGCGCATAAACGACTTACCTTGGAAACGCTAACAATCTTGATTGAAACCAAGGACAGTAGAATCTAACAGGCCTGCTACATCTATTGTTGTGACAACCTGCCCGCAAACTACGTCACACCATTTTTCACACCCAGCTGTTGTTATGGTCTATGCGTTTACTGTGTATTTGTAGAGGTTATATCCTAGACGTATTCATATTATTTTTGAAGTCTTATGTTTTTAGACGTATGTATTAATGTCTATCATATAACCTCTAAAAACACAGACAGTTACCAGGCGTGGCAAATACTGTGACGTAGACTGCGGGCAACCAACCCGTACTGGGCTACAAAAATACAATGCATGTAGCAGTCCTGATATTATTTTTACTTATCGGAAATTTTTTTGAATAATTTTATGTAAAATTAATAAAATAACCCAAATTAAAATTAAAAAAATAAATTTATTTGCACATCATAAACATATTACACATATAAATATATTATTATTTATCTCTCATTCATTTTTACAAAAATAACACTAATTACAATCCTGTATACATTATTTACACAATTAAATTATTACATAAACATTTTTTAATTTCAATAATACATGTTTGGAACGTACGGATAAGGAGATGCATTAGCTAAATTACTCCACGTACTGAAGGGTAACATCACAGGTACAGCGTAAAGCCCTCTCGGTTGCATATGAGTTTTCATGTGTTTCTTAAGATGATCTTTCCTTCCAAAACTCTTCCCGCATTCGTTGCAACTGAACGGTCTCAACCCGCTGTGAATTCTTTTGTGTCTGGTTAACTCCTCGTTTCTTGTAAACGTTTTTCCACAATCTTTTTCGTCGCATTTGAACGGACGTTCTCCTGTGTGGATTCTAATGTGACCTTTCAACTGACCGTTATTAGAAAAAGCAACACCGCAATGCGGGCATTTATATTTTTTGGGTCTTTGCTTTTTGTTTAAAGATTTACTATGTTCTTCTTGTTGAAGCACCCTAATGTATTCTTCTTGTAACGATTCAAAGAAAGTTTCGGATTGAAAATTTGGGTGAGGCATTGAATGAAGAACGTCGGAATAAAGATATGAATTAGGTGATGGGATATATTCGTTTAAAGTTTGTGGAATTAATTTTTTGTGATTTGTTTCAGGGGAGGCGTTTTCGGTTTTTATTTGGAGATTATCACTTGATTCTTCTGAAGTGGTGGTTGAAACTGTGGAATCTTGATCGCTTTTGTTATCCCATGGTCGAAATATCTTGGAAGTTACTTGTGATTCCAATTCTAACTTCTTCGCGAACTCGAACATTTCGAAAGGCACTCGAACCGCTCCTTGTAAGGTACTTTGAAGAAACTAACCCTCAAAAACTGTACTGATAGATATATAGTATTGCAAAAAAGGGGCGGTTCTTGGCCCTAGAGAGGGGTGCTACTGTAACAATAAACTGGACCCTATTCGCTTATTGGAATAGGGCAAAATCGAGGGGTTGACTTTTGCCGTAGGGTGATTTTCACGGGGTTGGGAATGGGGCTGAAATGCAATTTTGCACGGTTGTCTTTTTAATGGTTGAACCGCGATTGTGGTCGGATTTAGTTGTAATGCGTTTCTTTTCTGTTAGCAATACCTGAAGTGGTACATAAGGGAGTTTGGGAACAATAGCCCTTCATATGTCAACAACGCGTCATAAAAAGCGGATAGAACGCGTTATTTATTAACCACCAAAGTTAACAAGATCGGTTACGGGTATTTTGTTCGTTTTAAAAATTGAAAAAGAAAAATTTTTAAATCACCTAGTTCAAAATTTAATCTGGATGATAAAGTTCACTGGAAATTTTAGAGTTACGTAAAGTTTTCAGCGACAAAGACCGGACGGAAATATTCGGGTAGCATTTCCCGGAATTAATTGCTCCCGGTCGGGGACATTAAAAATTTGTCTCAATTCAATTTTTATGAAGGAAGTTAATTTTTTGTTTGATAACCAACCCTTTCCAAATATTTGATGTTGAAATGACATATTATGATCGATCCGTGTCCTAAACTGCAAACTGAAAAACAACGAGCAAGGGTTGAGGAGGTTTTAAAGTTTTCAATTTGGCTATCAATCAAAATTTGTCACTTAACAACCAAACAAAAATAGAATTATAACTTATATAGGAATCTAAACTAAATGAATAAATAACAGTTATTTATAAATTATTTGAGGAACATTATAAAGACTGTGATATCACATCACTTGTCAAATTTATTATTCAACAGAATTATTGCAAATTTAACGAAAAATTTTATAAACTCGAAAATGGCTTACCTATGGGTTTATCTATATCTAGATTTATCGCCGACATATATCTAGATTATATGGAGAATAATAGAATTCATGAGAAGTTAAAATTAACTTGAGAAATTGAAATAGATAGAAAAATCAATTTTGTTGACTTAACTATAAATAGAAATGACCTAAATTTTGACATATATAGGAAATCAACAAATTTGAACACTATTATTCCATATGACTCTTACCATCCTAACAGTCATAAACTTTCCGTATTCCAGTCGTACATCTACAGAATGCTAAGATACTCTATTAATACAACTTCTATACAAAACCAACTTAATTTCATAAATAAACTAGCCATAGAAAATAACTATCCCCCAAATATAATTAACAAAATACTATATAACAGTGGTGTCCATAACGTCGATCGCAAAGCAGTTTTGAGTCGATCGCCAAGAAAATCATGAATCTGAAATATCTGTATCTGGGCCTCAGAGCAAAAGAAAGTAATCTAAATCGATTAAACATCAAAATTGTTGATTTTCGAAAATTAACTTAATCATAACTCAAAAACTAAAGGCGATGGGGAAATATTTTTTAAACATAAAACCTTAGTAATGGACAATAAAGACTAGATCCATAAAAAGATTGAACCCAATTATTACCATTTTTTATTTATAAGCTCTAAATCGATTAAACATCAAAATTGTTGATTTTCGAAAATTAACTCAATCATAACTCAAAAACTAAAAGCGATGGGGAAATACTTTTTATACATAAAACCTTAGTAATGGGCCATAAAGACTAGATCCATAACAAGATTGAACCCAATTATTACCATTTTTTATTTATAAGCTCTAAATCGATTAAACATCAAAATTGTTGATTTTCGAAAATTAACTCAATCATAACTCAAAAACTAAAAGCGATGGGGAAATACTTTTTATACATAAAACCTTAGTAATGGGCCATAAAGACTAGATCCATAACAAGATTGAACCCAATTATTACCATTTTTTATTTATAAGCTCTAAATCGATTAAACATCAAAATTGTTGATTTTCGAAAATTAACTCAATCATAACTCAAAAACTAAAAGCGATGGGGAAATACTTTTTATACATAAAACCTTAGTAATGGGCCATAAAGACTAGATCCATAACAAGATTGAACCCAATTATTACCATTTTTTATTTATAAGCTCTAAATCGATTAAACATCAAAATTGTTGATTTTCGAAAATTAACTCAATCATAACTCAAAAACTAAAAGCGATGGGGAAATACTTTTTATACATAAAACCTTAGTAATGGGCCATAAAGACTAGATCCATAACAAGATTGAACCCAATTATTACCATTTTTTATTTATAAGCTCTAAATCGATTAAACATCAAAATTGTTGATTTTCGAAAATTAACTCAATCATAACTCAAAAACTAAAAGCGATGGGGAAATACTTTTTATACATAAAACCTTAGTAATGGGCCATAAAGACTAGATCCATAACAAGATTGAACCCAATTATTACCATTTTTTATTTATAAGCTCTAAATCGATTAAACATCAAAATTGTTGATTTTCGAAAATTAACTCAATCATAACTCAAAAACTAAAAGCGATGGGGAAATACTTTTTATACATAAAACCTTAGTAATGGGCCATAAAGACTAGATCCATAACAAGATTGAACCCAATTATTACCATTTTTTATTTATAAGCTCTAAATCGATTAAACATCAAAATTGTTGATTTTCGAAAATTAACTCAATCATAACTCAAAAACTAAAAGCGATGGGGAAATACTTTTTATACATAAAACCTTAGTAATGGGCCATAAAGACTAGATCCATAACAAGATTGAACCCAATTATTACCATTTTTTATTTATAAGCTCTAAATCGATTAAACATCAAAATTGTTGATTTTCGAAAATTAACTCAATCATAACTCAAAAACTTAAAGGCGACGGGGAAATATTTTTTATACATAAAACCTTAGTAATGGACCATAAAGACTAGATCCATAAAATAAAAAATTTAGCTGATGATGATAAGTATTTGTCGAAACCGGTCCTAAGTATATTTATTAAAAAACTGATTATTAAAATGTATCGATAAGTTTGCAATGTATAATTTGCTTAAAACATCGTGTGTAATAAATAATAAACTAATAACAATCATTTGATATTCCATTTAAACCGAGTTAATTTGTACATTTCAATTAACCATTTACGATTAAACTTAATTAAAACAAATTTTCTGTTTCTACATTTTAAACTACAACCACAATGGACATGTTAAACAGCTCGATTGAAACGCGTTTAAAACGTTAGTGGGAAATGAAACACCGAATAACGACAACGATTGGAAACATCCAAAACGAACCCAGTTCAAATCAAGCTTTACTTTTTGGGGTTGGTCCAATTTGCTGGAATGGCAGTGGAGGTTAAACAATCATAATGAAATCGCTTTGTCATAAATTGAGTAGCTGTAGGACTTCGAATATTGTGGTAATTTTGACAAACGTACCAAAAAACTGATGACCATAATATTCTTGTAGAGAATTTCTATTTGAAAAATGGTTAGAGAGTGTCTTAAATTCATATTTCATTATTCTGCCAACAAAAGGGCATGGGTGAAAACTTAGAAACATTCGTTATATTTTCGTTGGAAATGCTCGTCGGTACGTTTTACAGTGATTGATTCGATTTTTGCGGTGGCATAGTTCTTGTGTCTTCCGAGGCGGAGGAAATGTACTTTCGTCCGGTAACAGAATCGAGCGCAATTTGTTACTCGGGATTACTCCGTACGAGAACAGGATTACGGAACATGCCCCGACGAACGAATATTGAACCGTGATTCGATTTGAATTTAAAATTGTATGTGGCTTGTTTCGATAAGACCGTAAAAATACCACACGAAGATTACCTCGGTAACCGAGTGAATACTTTTTATGATTTCCCTTTCGATAAAAACACGTTCTCCCCACTATGGCTTTTAAAGTTGGATCTAAATCATCACCCGATTTCGTCAGCACCCTAACCAAATTTCGCTATAACGTCATCGTACGCGTTTCCGCACGATAAACCCCTAAGAAACGTCCGACATTTCCCATCGCCATACGGCGATTTGTTATCGGAAAGTACGAAAACCCCCTGCGTGGTCCCCCTTGTCAGTGGGACCGAGTGGGGCGCGTTCACAGAGCAATTAAAAATCCCTACCCGTATATGACGCCTATGGCGGGTTATGCACTTTTACCCCTTCACGCCGCTTTTTCACCCCACAACCGCAGTTCAGTGGTGCGTCACCCCTCAGGACGAGACAGACGGATGCAAAAATTTGTTGTTGGGTAAGTGTTGTTGGTCGGATTTAGGGATCGTTTCGTAGACGGCCATTTTAACGGGTACACCCCTTGATGATGGGTGAGAGGGTTTTAATCGAATAGAGAGAGAAAAATAATCTAATAGTGTATTATTACATAAATATATAATTTACGTATTTACAAATATAATTATTTTCGATCGCTTTTCGTTACAAGTTTGAAACATTACGAATCGTTATGAAACTTTGAAAATCGTGAGCGCATTTCATACCGACATCCACAGAAAATTACTGCCATTTCGTGTAATACTCCACATCGAATGCCCGCTGGGATGGTAACTAAAGGTTAATGCTTAAAGGAGCGTAGCGTGATTCGTGCAAACTGACCTTAACCCGCACTTTGACTTTGTTACATATGGTCTCGTTAGTGTAATAATCGATTACTTTTCAACATCTACTTTTAACCCATTTACGTCATTCAGAAAAAATGATAAAGTGGCCCATATTACCAAACATTCTTTTATTATATACAAACATTATAATTATAATACATGTGCCAGGTTGGTCTATATGTTTATTGAACTAAAAGTAGAACTAACACTAGACCTAGAACTAGATACATTTCGGTTTAGCCGTGCGTCTCTTAAGACGGCTAAACCCGAATGTTTCTAGTTTAAGCTCTAGTGTTAGTTCTAGTTACAGTGCTAGGTAGTG